GATTTAAATATTATTTTATTATATTATAATTAAATCTTTAATTTATTTTATTAGGCTATATCACACATTATAATACTGGAATGCTTGCAAAAATGATTAATATATTACATTAATGGCCTTCAGATGAAGATTTGCTTTGTGCTGTTCATGAGGGGTATTAACAAGCTTATGATTTGGCAAAAGTTCTTTCAATGGCTAATCAGAATGAAGAAGTTTTGGTTTTTTAAATATTTCTAATGGGTGATCAAACCAGTTGAATAATGAAAATAATGATTTTTTTGACTATTTTAATAATTCGATCCAAAGTAATAAAATATCAGATTCATATGCAATTGCTATAGTAGCAAACACTGTAGCTGATTTTAATACTATAGAGATCTGTGATGATAATTTTGAAAATGATTTAAAAGATGCACATTTTGAGTTAACTTTTTTATTGTCAGATGCAAATTTTTTAAACAATTATGATTTAGAAACATGTAAAAACTTTTATACTGGCATTACCGAAGGAACTTTAGATATTTCTTACTTAGTTAACTTACGAAAAAATCATAAATGTTATAGCAACCAGGATATGAAGTGAAAAACTATTTGTAGAATTTAGAATTTTAATCATATAAATGCTGTTTCTTCAAATACGATAAGTAGTCTAATTGCAAATCGTATATCAAATATTGAAATATTATAAACTGAGAAATTACATGGAATTTGGTAGAAAAATCATTGTCATCTATCTGTATTATCAAGTACAAATAAAAAAGTTGGTGAGTAATAAATTATGAATAATAAATTATAAATAATAAATTATAAATAATAAATTATAAATAATAAATTATAAATAATAAATTATAAATAATAAATTATAAAAATAGTTCCAATGCTTATTTAATAAATTAATTTAAAATTTAGATCTAAACGGAATAACTGTTGCTAATATCGGTGAACATAATCCTCTTCGCAAGCATGGCTATGGATTTTCTTATATTAATCATGAACTTTGTCTTGTACAAATTTTAGCACTGTATCAGAAAGAATTCTAATTATCATTCTTATGTGTGTAATGATGTGTTTAATGTAGATTCATTATTTTACTTATCAGTAAAAGTTTTTTTCCACTTTGAAATAATATTTTTTTGCCTCTAGCTAATTCTGGACATATGGTTTTTAGTCATATTAGTGCTAAGTTTTTCATTTATTTTCTTAGATTTGGTGATTTTATTCATGTTGATGAGCAGCATAATTTGATAACTCTTTTTGGAAAGGCTTTAGAGTTATATAGGTTTTTTAATGAATTCTCTATGAAGAATTTGTTATAAATTATTGTTTATTCTGAAGTAGAAAAAGATTAGATTTAATAAATAATATGTAATAAATCAATAGAATAATTCTCTATGCCGATTCTGCTATTGTGGCAGATTTTGATGATTTAGCATAGGTTCGAAATATACTTTTTTTTGATTATTATGTCAGATTAATTTAATTATTTGCCAATCGATGCACTTAATTTAAAGTAAGCTATTACCTCATATTTAATTTTTTTATTCACAGCCATTTTATCAATTTTTTTTTAAAAAAAATTTATCAATCGAAGTAGTTAAAATACTCATTTAATTTTACTTGAATTAATTCAAACGACTATATAACGATCGGCATGAGATTTTATAAAAATTTATTATTTTTTTATTCCAAAACTGTTATTTTGTTATAGAAAGAGTTAACTATAATTTATTCTGTTTGCTAAACAAAATACTATTTTATAGCAATTTATCATACTTCGCTAAGCAAAATATTATAATAATTTTATTAAATTAATATGCTTGAAAATTACAATTAAAGTAAATCACAATAAACCACATACTTTCTGCGATTTGCTTCGATCACAGCAAATCACAAAATTTACATGTCTCTATGTTATATATAAATTTGAAAAAGTTGACTATGGGTGTTCTCAAGCATCTTAATCAATTAATTAAATAATGATCATAATAACGCTCAAGTATCACAATCAATAATGACATTTATAGAATTAAATGCTTGAGCGTACTCTTTCTATTTTTCATAATCTTCACTATACCTCCTAAAAAACCTAATAGAAAAAATTTTTATTCAATCTAGCTGCTGAAACTTCAATTTCAGTTTTATTGGCTTCACCTTTTAATGAATTTACCAATTAAAATTTTGTTGCAACAGTAACAAAATCAACTTATAGAGTTGTTTAGCGAAAATTCCTTTGCAGAAACAAGAAGTAAATTTTTTAAAAAAATTTTTTATAGGCAATCTATAATAATTCTGCAGTTGCTATTTTACACTGAAAGTAGTATAGGTAATACAAAAATATATTTGAAAAAAGTTATAATATTTATTATTTGTTAAATATAGAAAAATATCTACCCAAAATCCTTCAGTTTTTGGATCGTCTTCACTGAAAAATTTTTAAATTTAGATGAATGAAAAACAAAAAAGTAGTATTTATTATAGTTTGATTAAAGTTAAAAGATGAAATGTATTTATTATATTCATATCAATATATTGATTATTTGCTTTAAAAGTTTTGAGCATAAAATTAAAGTAGCTATTTTTTTTTTTAAATCGGTTATAAATTTGTATATAAAAAATATAAAATTAATACTTGAGCGACCTTTATTAATAGTAAATTTTTTTAAAAAAAAGGTGGTTAGTAGCACATTAATCTGTTTATTGAAATGGCAGCTCACTTGGTTAATTTATTCAATTTCTGACCATTAAAAATTTGCTTCTGATTTATTAAGTGAGGTGCTTAAGAACCATGATCGAATCTCTATTAAATTTGTAGTTCAAAATAGAATAGATTATAAATCTCTGTCATGTGAAAAGTATTTACGTAATTTTGTAGCACACTAAGACTTTTCGAAGAAACGTACATATGTATATAGGTTATGTAATTAAATCGGGCATATAAATTGTAAATCGAAATGTACAGGGCTTAAAATGGGCAAGAATGGATGTTTAGAGTGGACAAAATACCTGAAAATTTATTATTAACTCAACTCGTACCTCTATTAGTATTATCCGGGGTCCTACTCTGTTGTTGACATGATAGGTGCAAAAAATCAACAAAAAATTGGAACCTGATATTTTTCTGTCTACTTTTTTTTTGACCCGTGTAATAATCGGTTATGAATATGCCGTGATTTTTTTGCTCCCCCCTTGTATCTTTTTCATAATACATTGATCCTGCCAACCCCCCTAGCGCACCCACAAAAATTTTCCCCTCCCATGAATTTTGGCCAATCAAATTTCAAGATCAGGTGTAACGTAAACAAACGAAGCGAAACCATTTTTTACAAATAAACT